TTTTTCCTCACTGCAAAACACATTAAAGCCCACTTGGAGTTTGCACAAAAGGATCTAAAAGACTCTCAGACTGTGAGAAACAAGATTTGCTGGTCTGATAAAACAAAGATTGAACTGTTTGTTTTCGATTCAGGGTGTTTTGTCTGAAGGAAATCAGGCACTCCTCATCACCTGCCCAATACCATCCGATTGGCAAAGTATGGTGGTGGTAGCATCATGCTTTGCGGGGGGGAGTTTCAGTGGCAGGGACTGTGGGAATGGTCCGGTTTAAGGGAAAACTGAATGCAACAAAACAGAGATATCCTTAATGAAAGCCTGGTCCAGAGCGCACAGGACCTCAGAAAGGGCTGAAGGTTCACGGTCCAACAGGACACTGGCCTTAAGCACAGAGCCAACACAACACAAGACTGGCTTAGGGATAATTCCCTGAGTGTCCCCTGCCACAGTCCGGACTTGAACCCAATCGAACATCTTGGGAGAGTTCTAAAAATGGCTTTCCACTGAACGTCCCCATCCAACCGGACAGATCAGGTTTGTCGCATCATACCAAAAAAAAATTGAGGCTGTAACCACTACAGGCCCTGGGCTGGCTGCACCAGCAGTAGTTTTGCCATTGGAAAAAAGCAAGCAGGTCTTCACACTTGCCTCTTCTGTTCACTCTGTGGAGGTAACGGAAGCAAAAGAAAACCTCCCTGACTCTCTGAGTGACCACCAGAGAGATTATTTTACAGCAATCATAAAAGTGTTGATTTCTATTACAATTGGCACTTTTATAAACTTTCTCAAGTATGACAGACTACAGGCAATACAAACAAAGTACCTCTGTCACTTTTGAGGAGAAATGAAGATAATATACTTACCTTAAGATGTCCCTCTTCTGTGTTTCTTTATTCTTGCCACCATAATTCTTCAGCAAATCGCAACTTTATCTTTCCAGGAGTCATCCTCACTAAAGAACGAGGTCAAAGGAGACAGCAGGATCCTTCATAGATAATCTTGCACATGTTCAATAAGGTGCCATATGCATCTATAACATATCACTCGACATTGTGCTTTGATTCTTCTAAAGTTGTCTAATATGTCAGCCACATCTAAATTATTCCTATGTACAGACAAACCAAAGGTATTTTCCTGATTTATCCCATACTCGCTTTTTTTGTTGTCAATCTTTCTTTTATTGAAACAATTGAGTTGGGATACAGAAAGAGAGAGAAGGGAAATGTGCAATTTTAGGTACATGTTAGGGAAATCACAGCTGTAAATAAAATTTCTTAGATAACGGTGCATCATTTTTATGGGTTGGTAAAACTTGAACATGCTGAACTTTTACGCTTAGTACTTATGGCATAGTTAACTGTACAGACTTATCGCAATAGAAGGTATGCTATATGTAGATTGGCATATCATACCGTGTGGCTGTTTGTTCGCTCGGTACAGTGCTAGGGGTTCTCTTGCAACAATTGTTATGGCTCTACCTAGTCTGGTCAGCTCGCTTGGACTTAGGGATCTATCCCTTTAAATATTCTGTTAACAGGCTGAGATATAGGCTTATCAAGTTATACGGTATAGTAAGGCTGAGCTGAGGCCAGTTACTATGGCACAGGTAACACAGTTTAGTCTTAGTGGAAACAATGGCTATGTAATTGCATGCTAATAACGTCAAGCTTATTTTACATTATGAGAGACCTACATAGCAGTAGGCAGTAATGGGCTATTACATAAACAGGGTACAGTCAGTATAGGCTGGGCTTGTGACTGGCAGTGTTACTTGCTTTTTTTTTTTTATTCTCTCAAACCAAGCATGAAAAATAAAGAATTAAAAACAAAAACATATCACTCGAGATGATCTCTGCACCTAATCGCCATTGAAATCTCTACAATCACCATACCACTACAGGTTACTACAATGGCTGTTGTACAAGGAAACAATGGATGCAGTTTTATGTCAAACTGTTTTCACACATTTTGACAGAGGATTTCTGATGTCCATTGTTTCATCATACGGCAAAGTTTCACCTTCCTCATACTTTTAAAATATTTGTGTGGGAAAATAAGCGGAATTTGGCTCTTCTGAATCTCTGTTAACACTTTACCACATTACCTGCAGTAAAAGCGAAGCGGTCCTCCATGTTGCCTCCTGTTCTGACACTGTGTGTTGTCCTGGGATTATACCTGACTCTAGAAGCTACCCCTCTTCTGCCTTGCCTAGTTTCATTAGTGTGTGTCAGTTACTGAACACACATTTTTCTGTGTCATACGTGCACCCAGATTCAGGTCATTGAGCAGATTCAGGGCATGCAAGAATGATGCTCACCAATGATGACTTTTTACTTATTATTTAAATCAATCACATGTTCCTTCCTGTGTCCTGCTGTGACTTCTTTTAAACATAGTGCATTTGCCTCCATTCTGACAAACTTATACACAGAAACATTCACATTTTCACTAATTATGCATCCTCTCCTGTCTTCTGTACACCTTTCTTAAGGTGAGGAGGGAGATGGGCTGTAGTCTTCTCCCCATGGTGTCCAGAGATGAAAGAAGAGCTGTATTCTAGACAGTAGACACTGGGATATGACCTTACATCCGGACGCTTGCTGCCAATTATAAAGTGGAATGAACACTGTGTGCCGAGCAGCCAGAGAGATGTCAGTAGTCCCCCTCTCAGTATACACAGGCACCTAAACAGTGGTTATAGGGCTGTGGTAGTGGGATTAAGGAAGAACATATCAACGGGCAGTGCATTTAGAATTGGCTGCCAGATGTCATGCAAACAGCTTGGGAACCTCTGTATCACAGAGGCTGTTGCCACACATTGCAATAAACTGGAGCACAATAAAAGACATTGGAGGTACATAGCATCTCCCAGCACACGGTAGAACTGCCAGTGAATTAGAGACTTGTGACTGATGGATGGACCCTTTTAACACTTACCTGATTCCAGCGCCAAGGTCTCTTAGTGCTGGCTTCACCTCTACCTCCTCCAACTTCAGCGTGAGGGGGAACTTAATATGCATGCACAGCGCACATCAGGCCTTCTCCATAAGTAAGCATTGAATCAGTGCTTTCCTGTGGGGATTTGCAAGACACTGGATGTCCTCATGCAAATCCAGGAAGTTCCTCTAATGGCTGTTTGGTAGGCAGCAACTAGAGGATTTGGGCCCAGAATATGGACTGTCCCCTCTAAATAGGGGCACTTAGCTTATTATTATTGGACCATATTATAATAATGCATAATAAATGGAGGAGGTTAATCTTCAAGATATTGTGTCCTTTTAAAGAATGATTGGCATTATAGCTGGATACGTAATGCTTTTGCAAAGGTTAAAGCGGCACTGTCACCGTCTGGGGACTTTGCCAAATTTGCTGCTGGGTGTCCAGAAAAGGAGAGTTGTACTTACCTGAACCTGTCCCTCGAAGGGCGCTGACATCTTCTTCCGGCAGGTCCTCTTCAGCTCCAGGAGCCAAAGGCACATGCGCGAGAGTACAGCATTGAGATCTATGGAAGATCCAGTGAGACCTTCCATAGATAAAGCCAATTCCCTCACTGGTGACGGCTGGTGATATTGACAGTTGTAGAAGGCAGTAGCTCCGCCAAGTGTCTAGAAGTGTCAAGCATAGAACATATAGAGACAAAGTAGTCCCTAATTTGTCTCAGTATATCTCTTGATTGGGTTGGAATTTAAAGGACCACTATAGGCACCCAGACCACTTCAGCTCAATGAAGTGGTCTGGGTGCCAGGTCCCCCTAGTTTTAACCCTGCAGCTGAAAACATAGCAGTTTCAGAGAAACTGTTATGTTTACATTGCAGAGTTAATCCAGCCTCTAGAGGCCGCTTCCGCCATTTAAACAGAGTAAATTGCACTTATTTGACGGTGGACGTCCTCACGGAGTCCATCGTCAAATAAGATCCCTATAGGAAAGCATTGAGCAATGTTTCCTATGGGCAGGTTTAAATGCGCGTGCGCCTCTAGCCGCGCACGCGCTTTCGGCTACACTCGGAAGTTGACGTCGATGGAGATGTCACCAGCGTCGAGGGAGCCCGGCGCTGGATTAGAGGACCACTCTATGCACCCAGACCACGTCAGCTTAATGAAGTGGTCTGGGTGCCAGGTCCCTTTAGGATTAACCCTTTTCTTTATAAACATAGCAGTTTCAGAGAAACTGCTATGTTTATAAATGGGTTAATCCAGCCTCTAAAGTCTCTAGTGGCTGTCTCATTGACAACCGCTAAAGACGTTTGCGTGCTTCTCACTGTGAAAATCACAGTGAGAAGACGCCAGCGTCCATAGGAAAGCTTTCCATTATGAGACTGGCTAAATGTGTGTGCAGCTCCTGCCGCGCATGCGCATTCAGCCGAAGAGGAGGCGGAGAGCTCCCTGCCCGGCACTGGAAAAAATTTAAGTTTAACCCCTTTCCTCGCCATCCAGCCCCGCGGGAGGGGGACCCTGAGGGTGGGGGCACCCTCAGGGCACTATAGTGGTCCTTTAAGATAAGCAAATAAATGGTTAATTAACCATTTATTCGCCATGGAAGGGGCCCTAATCACTGTTTAGGTGACTAGGGCTCTATTGCGTTAGGAATACATATTTGTTTCCCTAACGCTATAGTGTTCCTTTAAGTGAAATTCTAACACAATCAATAGGACAATTCCAGCTTTATGAAATACTCATTTTTCAGGGGTGGGGGTGCCGTTTTAAATGTGTTTTCCAGAGACTGCATATCAGCCCTAACAGAGTTATTCACTAAATCTGAAATTCACGTTGAATTCCCTGCAGTTCTCACTCTAGTGAATAACCCTGGTAGTGTTGCTAATAAACTTTTAGTATAAAAATCTATTTTTGATATGAAGATGTAAAATACACCTGTTACTCTATCTCCCAGCACAACATGGTCATGTATAAGGTCGTTCCGGGGAAATGGTGTAAAAGTAGAGCAATCAGCAAAGCATTCCATGGTCTCCATGGTGACTGAGAGCGTTCTACACATAACCTTCAATGTTCCATTCCGCACTCCCAATCTCTGCAATAATCTGCACCACGCTGACGCTCTCAGTATTGTTCCTAACGGTCCCCCCACTAACAGCCGCCTCTAAACGGACACCCTGAGCCACAGTTTTCGTGTGCAATCTATTGCGCACGCGCAAAGCGCTTGGTGACCTTTAACTTCACAGCCGTTTGTGCCCCAAACAATCATGGCGTCGGTGGATGAGCTGAAAGCTGGTGAGTTATCAGTATATGCAGAGAGTTTATGGTTTATTAAAGTTTGTTTATACCAGCGCTGTAAGCCAGTTCTGTAATGTTAATGCATGCTAGTTAAATAACTCTGGTCTGCTAATATGCATTGCAAGGCTTTGGTCTCCTGTGCTGTGGCATTGAAAGGGTTCCCTTTGCTTATTGGAGTGTTTTGGAGGTAAGTCACTATATGATTGGTGTGCTCATTAAATCTTCTGCATGATTGATGCATTGATCTGGTGAGTGAGAGAGCTGTCAGGTCCACTTGATGCTTTTAGCAGTGTTTTGATGTTTTGTCAGGTAAGCATAGTCTGAATGGAATTGCCCAGTTAACTGAATCTAACACGTTTTTGAGATTTTTTTTTTTTTGGCATAGTTTTAATGCATTATCTAGATCTAGAATATCTGCTCCTGCTGTTCATGTCCTTTAAAAGGAATACTCCAAGCACCATAACTGCTACAGTGTGCTGAAGTGGTTATGGTTTCAGAAGTGTTTGGCGCTGCCAAATGAAAGTAGTCTGTAATGGTTTGACTTCTTATCTGGTGTCTGCCTTGCACCTCCCTGCCTCCTCTCAGCTTTGAGCTAACCTTGGCAGTGCAGGACTTAGCTTATTGGCTGAGCTATATCCGCTAATAAGCTAGCCCTGCTTGACAGGTCTTAGCTAGGGAGAGCTAACAGAAACTTCAAGCAGGGGTTTTGAGCTCTCTTACAGGTGCCTGGCTGTCTCCAGTTAAGAAAAGAAACCGCTATTAATTTGTTTGACTACTTATTTTGGGGGAACATCTGGCACCATAACCAACAACACGCTATAATGGCTTTAGTGCTTCGAGCATTGAACATCTCCTCCACTTCCTACTGAGTCTGAAACTTGTGAAAAGAGAGCCATTTGCTGGCAGTATCAATTACTCTCCCTGTAGCCTCAAACTTGTATAGATGTGGAGGGGCAGAGCAAAATAACATCGGATAGCAGACTTTAGGGTTAAACAGTTTGCTCTTAGTTTAACACCCGGATGGTATGCCGGTGCAAAGATTCTCCTGACACCATAACAACTTAATTCCAATGAAGTTGTTATGGTGCCCAGAGTGTTCTATTAAAAGGACACTATTGGCACCCAGACCACTTCAGCTCATTGAAGTGATCTGTGTGCAGATTCTCTGTCCCCTTAAAGGGACACTATAGTCACTGCTTAATGAAGCAGTTTTGTTTATGCAGCCATAGTTACACCTCCCCACATGTGATTCACACAGCCTTTCTAAACACTTCCTGTAAAGAGTCATCTAATGTTTACACTTCCTTTATTGCAACTTCTGTTTCTGTGTAGAATTTTGTATCTCCTGCTCTCCTAATAGCTTACCAAACTCTGCAGAAGCCTACTGTATGTAATTAAATTTCAGTTTACAGAGCAGGATCTGATTGAAACTGAAACTATTGTGTTTTCATGTCATTCACAGCCAAGGGAGGTGTGGGTGGGCTGCATCCACAGAAACAAAAGTGATTGATTTAATTCATAAATGGCAGAGAATTGAGCAGTGAAACTTCAAAGGCATGATCTATAGACAAGAACTGCTTCATTAAGCTAAAGTTGTTCTGGTGAGTGTAGTGTCCCTTTAACCCTACAATGTTAATTATTGCAGTTTCTGAGCAACTGCAAAAATTACCTTGCAGGACTAAAACTGCCTTTAGTGGCTGTCAAACAGCCACTAGAGGCACTTCCTGCTTGCTAGGTGACTTTGTTTGCCTAACTGATGCTGGATGTCCAAACACTCTTCATGAGGACATTGCAGCAATGCTTTCCCAATGGGGAGGGCCTAATCCGCTTACGGAGCGCCGACCCTGCGCCGAGGGAGATTGGGTGAATACAGTAAGGGCAGGGGAGCGTGAGGGAAGTATAGTGTAAGAAATGCACCTTTGTATTAATAGCACTATAGTATCCCTATTAGGCAGGCAAAATTGTAATAGGTGTAGACATTTTCATTTTTCTTGAATGCACTAATGTTTGTTTCTTCAGTTCTGAAGGATACATTAGAAAAAGGAGGAGTTATAGGTGAGCTAAAAGCAAATGTCCGAGCAGCAGTGTTTCAAGCGGTTGACGATCGGAGTGAACCCAAACCAACACTTTCTCATGAAAATCTTCTCATAAATGAACTGATCAGAGAATATTTGGAGTTCAACAAGTACAAATACAGTGCTTCAGTGTTAAATGCAGGTATGTGTGCCTAATCAATAACCAAAATTAATAATTTGTGTATAAGACCAATTAAACAAAAAGGAAAACAAGGTATAATTGTGCTCAAAGCAATATGTTGGTTTTTTTTTTCTTCTTTTTTTTTATTGTATAAAATATTATGCATTTCTTCCTTCCAGCGTCTATGACGCATTTGTGTTTTTCCCCAAAATGTCTGTTAAAGGAACACTCCAAGCACCATAACGACTACTTACAGTCTCCTCCCACTCCAACCCCCAATGTAACTAGCCCAAGTGTGTGTGTGTGTGTGTATATGTGTGTGTGTATGTATGTATGTATATATATATATATATATATATATATATATATATATATATTTGGCTGCTCTCCCTTCTTTTACTCCTTTTGGAAACACTTCTCAGGGAGCTGAGCTCAAATAGGACCATCTTAAGCAAACTAAATGGGCGGTCAATTTACGTTCACTGGAAGCTATACATACAGCTATAGTGAGTGCTAGGCTTCTGAAAAGCCACTACCAGGAATTCCTTGAGCTTAGCTGAGTTAGAAAAATAGTTGTTCTGTTGAGTATAATCATTACCATCAGGCATTTTTTATGCAAACACTGCCTTTTCAGAGAAAAGGCAGCATTTACATTGCCCTTAGGGACACCTCCAAGTGGCCGCCACTCAGATGACGACTGAAGGTGTTCCTGGGGCAGTGCTGCACAGTAGGCAGCACTGCCGTTCAGCATCTCCACATTCTGCATGGGGATGCTGAATATTTCTCATAGAGCTACATTGATTCATTGCATATCTATGAGGTGGTGCTGATTGGCTAAAACAGGGTTTGGTCCCATCCCGCCTCCTTGCCGATTTTAGCCAATCCAATGCTTTACCCATAGGAAAGCATTGGATTGGCTAGAAATAGTCAGTGCTGATGATGTCACCAAGGGGCGGTGCAAGCACTGGCAGACCTGTGCGGTGCTGGAAATAAGGTGAGTTCTAATTCCTTTTTAAGGGGGCTAAGGAGGGGCAGGCCACCTAAATGGTGGGTTTACCACTATAAGGTCAGGAATATACGTTTTGTGTTCCTGACCCTATACTGTTCCTTTATTGAAAGTATTTTGGTTGCTGGCTTACCTGGGCTCCATCTTACCTTAAGTTGTCAATCACTGGCACCCATTGCTGCGTCTTCCTGCTGTTCTATAATGGCCAAAAAAAGAGTCTGAAGACTGTATGGACAGGTGTCTAGTGACCAATTTAGGTGTTAAATCAAAAGGGACACTTAACTGCCAAAAATGTGTTTTGTGTTTTTTTTTTTGTTTTTTTGTTTTTTTATTACAGTTTAGTATATATCGCCCCGATACCTTTTTAATTGGGGTTATATATAAAATCAGCTTGCAAAGGTTGGAGATCTTGTCTGCAGTATTTGCAAGCCCTTCCCTTCTTGCCCATCCCAGACTTCCCCAATCACAGACTTCCCAATGCAGCTCAATGAGAAATCTTTGCAAACCAGGTGTTGGCATAGCAGGTGTCTATGTCTTGAGTTTAGCTCCACTGAGCTAAACAACCAGGAAGTAACATGACCTATTATCTGATTAACAAGGTTATTATTGTATAAATGTTCCAATCTCTCTTAAATCTGCACATTTTGAAAAGTAGGGGCAAAAAGAGGACACACCCTTTACACATCAAGCGCTTTTGGTGTCTGGAGTTCCCCTTTAAGTTAAAATTGTTCCAAAGTACTTCAGTCCCCAAATCAACTTAATTAAGATAAAGTTGTATTCGGGGGTGCGTGTAGCTTTAGTATTAAAGGGACACTCCAGGCACCATAACAATATGTTACTTTTACAGGCTGTGATGGTAGAAGAACCACTGTCATTGTCTCCTTGCACCCTTTGTTTGTAACTGCGGTGATTTTAAAAAAATCTATGCAGCTGTTTGTCTACACCCCTTCTCTATTATTATTATTATTATTATTATTATTAGAAACCTTTCTAGAAACATACTCCTTTGAATGATGCTTTCATGGTGAGCAGATGTCATATGTCATCTCCTCTGACAGTCCTTGAATCCTAAGCTTTCTCATAGCTTTCTGTGAACAACCACATCTAAATGTCTTCATGAAAAAGATGAGACCTCAGTTGGCAGGGAAAAAAAGCCGCACTGCCTTCTTTTACCAGATGCTTGAGATCTATTCATATATTTACATGAAATAAGTTACATCTGAGTTCTGGGAAGAGGTTCATTTTATATATTTGGCAAACCACTAAGATATAATGTGAGCACCTGGATTGTTTTCTTTAGTTCTTTGGACTTCTCCCTGGAAAAGCTGGATTTGACTTGCCATCTGTAGACAAAAAGATATAGTAAACTCAGACATGCCTGTAATTGGATGTATTATGTGATCCTTAATAATTTGAAGTTCCCCTTCATTAGAAAAAAAATATTTTTTGTCTTGTTTTACAGAAGCAGGTCTGTCAGAGATCCCACTGGATCGTTCATTTATTGCCCGGGAACTGAATATCATTGAAGATGGAAACTCCCAATCCGTGTAAGTACTTTAAGCATTCATTTTCATGTTTCACAATCTCCAGTACTTTCCCAAACATTAACAGAATCAGTTTAATAGTGTGAAGTGTGTTTTTTTTAAAAAAGATCCTTCCTATGAAATTTTATCCAGAAACATGCTGTATTCCCAAGTCAATTTAAGTTACATGTCGTCCTCTTCCATGGAGATTGCAGATCTGTACTTCCAGATGCCGAACGATCACAGTCACAAATCGGTACACCTCAATACACTGACACACATATATGTATAATATACCCTTCCCCCACCTCTATATCTGTGGCGTGGCTGAGCTCTCCATGGAAGCTGCTTCACTTTGCTGTGTGATTTTCCTCCAAGGCTTATATCTGAAGTTAAAAAAAAAAAAAATTAACTGCCGAATGACAAAACTTTACTAATGATGCTGCCAGGAGCACACAGTGCTGGCAAACACTGCACCCCAGCCAGCAACCTCAGCCACCGTAAACAAGGGCACAAACACAGCATTCATACCAGGCCATCAACAGTCTGGGATATAGTAAAGTATGCATGGACCTGGACTTACCAGGGGCTGCATTTAATTATTTGGAACTTCTGCTGTAGTCTAATATTTGGATCCAAATACAAAGAAATTAGTCATGCCCTCAAATGCCCATTGCTCCTGGGCGGCAGCAACGACCATAGTACACATCAGCCAAAATACATATAGTAAATCCCAAAGAAAAAGTTACCTGCACTCTTTCCACATCCCTATGTATTTTTAAATAAATGGAGGTTTTTAGTTTCCTCCAATGGCCATGAGAGGGTATGCCCACCTGCCACGTCAAGGCAGACCTCTTAGGTGGGTCCTAACTGTAACCATTCGCTTTGCTTCCTTGAGGTTCTGGAAAAAATATCTCTGAGATAGAAAGGGGTATTTTTTATATATACACTCCTATATACTTATTAACCCTTAATTGGGAACACATGGGATGGGCAGCATCATTGTAACCTAGCTGTGTGATACAAAAAGTGAATACAAAGAAACAAGTCCTGTGCTCAAACTCCTATTATTACTGGGAGGCAGCAACAACCATAGTACACATCAGCCAAAATACATATAGTTACAGCTCCGTTACAATGCTGCTGCCCATCCCATGTGTTCCCTATTACGGGTTAATAGACATGTAGGGATTGTGACGGAACGCTGGCACTCTGACCAAGTATCTCCGCCAATCGTTGCTCCTAGTGCTTGCCGAGGACTCCAAGCACTCCAACCGACACTATCAGCACCGTAGACCCCACTTCCAGGGATGCAGCTGCGCCGGGGTCTCGCCGTCCTTCACCCACCCTGGACACAAGGCCAGGATCCAGCTTCCAGTGGGCAGACCTCTCTTCCTCCAGAGAGCGCAGCAGGAACAAGAACAGCTCTTACAATAGCTTACCCTGGGGAGTATAGTGTGATTATAGCAATCCCCAGAGTGTAGTTATCCCATCCCCAAGCATGAGCCAAGGCTTCAAGAAAAGGTCAAGCAGGTCTGTTTAATGCACACAAAAGGACTTTCTTTTATACAGGATTTTCCACAAGGTTACCACCCACGTGGTCTTGTGGAACAGCCAATCAAACACATTACAATACAGTCAGACACTTCCAGCCAAGGCACACAAACTCTCCCCTCTGCCTGTGATATAATTACTAAACACAATAGGCTAACTTAATTATCACAGGCAGAGAAATATACAGTTTTACACAATATTCATAACTTACAAACCATACATGCAATTCACATAAGTCACATATTCTGAACCAGCATAAGCAGTATACAAACATAGGCCAAAATCATACAATTTGGTTCAGTGGTTCAAAAGTTAGGTGGAAGTCCTATTTGACCGACTGCAAGCATGACTTTCCTGCTCAAAACAGTTCCACAGATTTAGGCTGTGCAGCCGGTCTATCTTCTCCTCTATCCTGGAGAAAATTGGCTTAAGTGGGTGTGGTAACTTAATTATCTCAAGGTACAGAAACTATCTCCATTTACAACAACAGTAAAAATACATAATTCCTTTTATACTGAACCAAACCCCCACATTCAACCTATCCTTAGCTAGCTTGGATCTAAGTGCTCAATATGTCCGAACAGCGCTCAGATCCCACGAACAGAATAAAATCACCATGGGGTTAAAGTTTAGCAAGAGCTGATGATTGACTGAGGAGGGACAAAGCATCTAGTTCCATTTAAAGGGCCAGAACAGTCTTTTAAACACCAATAAGTCCAAATAGTGGTTTTTAATTGGCAAAGTCTCCCCGGGACCATAGTCACATGGCAGGAGGCTGGCAATTTAGTTCTCTCCAGGCACAAGTGGCGAAGGGAACTTCGTCACAGGGTTGTATATTAAAAAAAAAAAAAAAATACCCCTTTCTGTCTCATTAGAGATATTTTTTGCCAGAAGCTCAAGGAAGCAAGGTGAATGGTTAGAGTAGGACCCACCTCAGAGGTCTGCCTTCATGTGGCAGGTGGGCATACCCTCTTATGGCCATTGGAGGTAACTAAAAACCTCCATTTGTTTAAAAATACATAGGGATGTGGAAAGAGCGCAGGTAACTTTTTTTTTTTTTTCTTTTTTTTTTTTTATATTTAATATTTGGATCCAATAATTAGTTGTTGCATGTGGTCCATTCTGTGGAAAGATACTTGACATTTAGCAATATTTCTATGGTTGGAGTTTGGCCTATCTTCATTCTTTAAGAAAAACTCAGTTGTTGTTGTTGTTGTTAATATTTTATTTGTGACACTTTCAGATTTACATTTTTTTTTTTTTTTTTATGCATGAAATGTAATTCCTTGTCTGCATTGCCCTGTGAGCTGAGCATAGCTGTGCAAAATTCACTGCCATCTTCAATTCTGCTGTGTTCTCAGTCTACGGTACTCTCTGCTGCTCAGCATTACTGTGTCCGCTGCCAAAGATGCCCAGCTATACTCAGCTCATGGGGTAATAGGTGACATTATCGCTCTGTGAACGTGCAAGGTCCCTGGTTTGTGAGCGTGACCTTGGAAAAGATGAAGGCGGATTCTGACCCAAAAATCACTGAACGTGGCAGTGCAGGAGGGAAAAAGGAAAGGTTGTTGTCATAGGAAGGTTATTTTAAAAAAAGTAAGAAAAATGTGTGTGTACACAATTATGTGAATAAAACAAAATAGGAATCACAAACCACTACAAAACAAATTGTTTTTCTTTTAAACTTACACCAATTATCTCCAATGCATAATCTCATCTCTCAATTCTGAGACAACCCATCCAAATCTTACTTTTGCCTTCTGTCGTCTTTGCGTTTCAGTTCTGCTTTCACACGTCCCAAATCCACTTGCCCAGTCTTCTCTTCGCTACCCTCCATCAGTCAGTCTGTGCATCATCCTCCCAGTGGCATCTATTCTGCATATTTAATTTACATTTTATTTCCATCCATCTAGCTATAACTAAAAACTGCTTTGACTGATGATACCACTTTAAGGAAACCACACCGTAGCATTTATTAGACATGGGTTTCCCAAATTCCCTTTGCCACATTATCAATTACTTCTACATGTCTTTAGTATCATACTATCTTCATTATCTGGTACCTCTTTTATATCAACCATGGCAGAGATTTAAACAACTGTATTGTTATATGCTGTGATAATTCTTTATTTTTAATTTTTATTTTTTTGCACAGGCCTATTCTTTATGGGATTTTAGCACATTTTTTACAAGGACAAGTCCAAAGAAAAAGGTTTGAAAACTCTAAGGAGCAACATTTAAAAGGTAAAGTTACGATGTTTTGTTTCTCACAAAAGTCTTTTGTATTACAGTTTTTGGAAACCAGGTTTAAACTGGTTTATAACACAAACTGTATTGTATTGAAGTCTTCATGTGAACTTATTTTTTATTTTATTTTTTTAAATATCTGCAGAACATGATTGGTAAGGTGGTGGTTATTTTTTTTTTTTTTTTATGATTTAGTAGAATTCAATGAATGGTAAAAAAAAGCCTTTAGCCTTGATTTCTTGCCAATATGTGAGCAACATTTTACTGGCATATAAAATAGTTTGTCTGTTTTTGCTGCCAATATTAAAGAGAAATAAAAACAAGGGATACATTTAAAGTGGTTCCTATCCATGTAGTGTGCACCAAATTCCAATAGGTTTGTTTTTATTACAAAAGATATAAAGGTGCATAGGCGCTACCAGTATAGAAATACAAACAGACTGGTGTAATAAAAGTGTATCCCACACACTTAAGAATAAACAATAAAACAGGAATAAATACTACACCAGTTTAATTATCCAGGTATCAGAATGATGATGTTAGAAGTTGAACATTAGGATATGTTGTGATACAAATCAGTAACCACAACCAACACTCCCTCCTGCTTCGACAAGAGATTAAGGAGTTTGCAACCACCCAGTCTTAAAATCTACACATGTAATTGCAGTTATTTAGTTAGCACAATATATAGATTAAGATGTATTGGGCATTACAGTTCATTGTAATCATTTTAGTGGCACTTAAACCGGCACTGTTTAGGGACTTTGTCGAATTTAGAAAGATCCCCAAAGGTGACCTTGCTGCTGGGTTGTTCGGTGCCGTAAAGGTCAGATTTACATACCTGAACCTGTCCCTTGCGGGTGCCGCCCTCTTCCTCCGTCTGCTCCTCTTCAGCTCCTGGCCGTCCCTGCTGTACTCTTGTGCAAGCGCCAGAGTAAAGCATTGAAGTCTGTGGAGGGAACCACGGGATCCTCCATAGACTGAGCCAATTCCCTGCAGCCATCACGGTTGGCATCTGTTGGGATTGATTCTTTAGCTCTGCACAGAGTCTAAGAAAGTCAGGAGGAGGAAATTCATAGAGACAAAGAAGTCTCTACTTGGTCTCTATATATCTCTTGACTGGGTTGGAGTTTCAGTGAAATGTCATCACAGTTAATGAGTATTTCATGAAAAAAGCTATCTTTATGAATAACTAATTTTTCAGGGGGGGTGGCAGTTCCCCTTTAAAGGAACACTATAGTGTCAGGAATACAAACATGTATTCTTAACAGTATATAGTTCTAAAGTAACTGCTTAGCTCTGTAGCCCCTCTCAGATTGCATTGAAACGTATTAAACTTACTGTGGCGGAACCTACCTCCAATTTCATATACTCTGCCCCTGTTTGTATATTTTCCCTTTTTCCATACGGGAGTTATTATATACGAACGCCATCTATTCGTCTCCCGAATGAGGACCACCCCTGTACCCTATTAGAAAATTCACACCAGCAACTTAAGTGTGAAACCACAAGGGAAGTCATTAATGAGTGCTGCCATCTTGTCTTCCAGACGTGGGCAGCGGCACTTGGTCGTCGAGTGCCCGGAACTCTTTTCGGCTAGGCACTTGCACAAATCCCGGTAAAGATTAGACCACTGCCCGTTCTATTTCCTGACCACTTATAAGAATGACGTTCGTGAGATATGAACTTCCGAACATGCATGGTGTTTGCACAGAAACCCCCGAACAGAGACTGGCCAAGGCACCTACTTCCCTGGAAAAGTTTTGGGCTAGTGTCAAAACCTTACCCCGGTGGCATTCCAGTTTCACCAAACTGATTGGAGTGATATGTGAATATGTTATACACTCAGATCAGGGATATCTGGGGATATGATTTTTGTGGGGTTCCACTTTATGGTGGGGGCACCTTTGGGAAACTGTATATTTTGTATGGATTTTCTGTACCTGAGAGATAATTGAATTATGTTTTTTTTCTTCTCACGCAGTTATCTCTCAGGCACGGAGGATCTTGGGATTAAAACACCTGTTTTTTATTGTATTGGAGACCCCATGTAGGGGTTTGTGCATAAAAGCCGTGTGTGGTTGGAATAAAATCAGTTGACTCCCAGAACTATGTTTCGTCTGGGTACTGGGGGAATGGATGTCTGTGTATTTTAATGGTTCCAGAGTGGCTTAAGGAAGGAATTAGCGGAGGTCATCAGTCAGGTTACCCGTGGTCCGCTACACTTACCTTTTCTCCCATGCCGTGCTGGTCTGGTTGCGGCTGTTCCCTCTTCCATGGCTGAGATCATTATCAATCTTGATGATCTCCGCCAACCCAATGCTTTCCTTTAGGTAAGCAGTGGGAGACTGTTGTGAGTTAAACTGTAGTGGTTCTGGTGACTTTAGTGTCCCTTTAAATTATACTACTATTAGGAACAAGTGTTGTGGGTTTTTGTTTTTAGAAAGTTATTCAGATCTTAATGTTTTTTTTTTTTTAAATATAAATTGTTTTGTATGAAAATGGGCAAATAAACACAAATGGCCTAAAAAATGAAGAAACAATAGAAAAATTGTTCCAGTTAAGACTGCCAGTGACCTTAAGAAGCCACGGACGGTTGCTGGACACCCCGCTAATTGCAAATCTATTCATACTATTTAAATTAGAAACAAGGTTTTGTTGGTTGAATGTAGTTTTTAAATATCTGTCACTAGGAGGAGCTGTCTTTCTGTAGATCTGTGTTTCAGTCCATATACTTTCTTAACATTTAGTTTTCTGAAAATTTTATATATTTTATTTTTTTACAACCTTAGGTTTTAATGATATAAGATCATAGTGTGTATGTAATATATTCCAGAATTTAGGTATGTCTGATAAGAGTTTACACATAACTTTTTTTATTTTTTTAATAGTTTCTGGGCATGTTACAGGCTTCTATCACTTGATATGCCTGGTTTAACAGTGATTAAATTAGACAGTTAGATCTACTTTATTCACCTGTCTCTTCTCCTCTCTTACCTACTCTTTCCGGTTAAGTGACCTCTCAAATATCATAACCACTGCATCTTATTGTAATAGTTTTGGGGCTTTTGTTTTTTTTTAGCTCCTAGCTCCTAGTTCCTTGTTTCTATCAGACTGATTTTAGAGTGGTTTGGCAAATTTTGTGTTTTCCCTGATACCTAAGGCCCTGCTGACCAGATAATGCAGATTCACTTCTGCATTTTCTGTCCAAAGTCAGTCAACCTTGGATGGGGCAACGATAAGCTGAAAACACTAGACGGCCCCTGCACTCTGTGCTTATCCATGTCATCCATTGTTGGATGATTTAAACAGAAAATGTAGACTTGTAGATAATTATCCCCAAAAAAACTCCCAAACATACGTATTCATTTATTCCATAGATGCCGTAGGGGTCAAAACAAAATGGGTAGCATGATGGTGTTTTGCACGCAGCTGCCTTTAAAGGGACACTAATGGCACCCAGACCACTTCAACTCATTGAAGTGGTTTGGGTGCACTGTCCCAGGTCTCTTAACCCTACAAAGCTAATAACTGCAATAGTTTGCTTGGTGGGTTAACTCCACTTCTGTGCTGTTAGGTGCCGCGCATGCGCATTAGGATTCTGACGTCATCTGGGGAGGAGTGAAGGCAGACCCGAGCCAGGGCCAAGGGACATAGACGCTGGACTAAGATAAGTGACAAAGTGTTTTTTAACCCCTTCTGCACCACAGGGAGGGGGCCCAAAGGAGGGAGGAGCTGTATTGCCAGGAAAACAGCTTTCCTTTTAATTAAAGGCCAGTCATCGGGTCTCAATTAAGTTGAGATAATAAGAATCTGCACCGGATTCTTTTCACCAATTAATTTTAATTAAGAGCGACACGGCTTAAAGTTTCTTCTATATGGGGCATTTGCAATTAAATAGTGTTGCGCGAGAATATTTGTTAATAAATACATGCATTTCTAACAGGTTTCCTAAATAATAGTTCAGAGTCATACTGGAATGTTCTTCATTGGGAAAATAAGTGTGTGTGTGTGTTCTTTAAATCCCTTATTGTGTATTTATATGTTCTTATTTTAAATGTATTTATAGATGCCAATCAAGAAAGGATTTGCCTTCCACAATCCAGCACCAGTGACGCCTATGCTTATCGTAACATGAACCGATAACAGCCTGCAAACACTCCGATGCCTCCCATAATTCCCTGTTGTTCCTTTTAAAAGAATGTTTCTTGCAGTGTCTTCATCTAACTTAAATTAGTTGATTTTAAATATTTATAACTTATCAAGAAGCACTGTTTCTAAGATGTTAGACTTTTGTGTACAGCACTAATTTTCCAATGTTCTGAATAAATATTTAATATTCTTTATACATATTGCAGATTTAAGTCATTCTAATTTGTCTTCTCCACTTAGTGTTGCTTTAACAGGGTTTAGAGGCACTTAAATCAATGCATGGAATATTTAATCAGATCGGGTATTGACTCCTACAGATTGTCAGGGTCAATTCAACTTCATGTTCATGATAAAATTATAAAAATGATTGACTCCTGACACATCAACTACAATCAATTACCATCAACTTTACAGAAATATTTGAGATGGTGATGAAATAGAGAAAATAGATTTGGGACGAAGACACATGGCAAAAAATTAATTCTGTTAAATACCAGGAGTTTGTAATTTGGCATTTACCGTGTTTCTCCGAAAACAAGACCGGGTCTTATATTAATTTTAGTCACAAAAAACACACTAGGGCTTATTTTCAGGGTAGGGCTTAGAGCCAGTCTGTCAGCCGGTGTCCGCGCTGTGTAACCCCCCTAGAGACCCTCACCTCCCCCTCCCTGTAATATTCTCCCCTCCCTCCCTGTAATATTATCCCCCCTCCCTCCCTCCCTGTAATATTATCTCCCCCCTCCCTGTAATATTATCTCCCCCCTCCCTCCCTGTAATATTATCTCCCCCCTCCCTCCCTGTAATATTATCTCCCCCTCCCTCCCTGTAATATTCTCCACTCCCTCCCTGTAATACTCTCCCCCTCCCTCCCTCTCTGTAATATTATCCCCCTCCTCCCAGTAATATTATCCCCCACTTTCTTCCTTCCTCCTCCCTGCAATATTATCCTCTCTCCTCCCTGTAATACCCTCCAATCTTCTCCTCACCTCCCCTGTAGTGTGGCCGAGCTCCTCTCCGGTCCGCGACCCGGCCGGACTGACAGGAAGTGCACCCAGTGTGCACTTCCTGTCAGTCCGGGCGGGTCGCGGACCGGAGAGGAGCTCGGCCACGCTACAGGGAAGGGGAGGTGAGGCACTGCGGCAGCCGTCTGAGTGCTCTCTATAGAGCGCTCAGGCGGCTGAGGCATTTAAAGGGCCGGCAGCCGCCGGCCCTGCCTAGGTCTTATTTTCGGGGTAGGGCTTATATTGCAGCCCACCCCGATAATCCAGCTAGGGCTTATTTTCAGGGTAGGTCTTATTTTCGGGGAAACACGGTAGGTGCCAGACACTCATGATGCAGAACTTCCCTTTGGCACATGAGTCACTTGCCCAGAACACACAAAAACACTATTCATTGTGAAAGGTGCTTACATTATAGCCACTTTTCCTTCTCACCAGCACTCTGTATTTCAGAGTTCCAAGGTTACCGACCACCGCCATTGATCTGCCATAAAGGGTGGATGTCTAGAACTATAGCCATCACTTACCCATACTACAGTATACTTTCATAAGATCCCAGGGCCTTTTTCAGCTTGAAGTAAGCGTTCCCTTTTTTAAAAAAAATATATATATATGGGGTGGGGGGATTAATATTATTACATAGGTGCTCTACGGCTCTGAACACTTTCCAAAGGATGGAATAATCCTTTGGAAAGTGTTGATTGCGGACCTGCGAGGTGCGTCGTTTTTGGGGGGATTGATATTACACCAACAAGTGGTAAAGGTGAGAATACTTAAACCTGCAAGCATGTTCTCTCCGCTCTATGAATGTCTTCACCATCAACAGAATTCTTTTTTAAATCAGGTTATGAAGATTATTGGAAAACATTCAGTTGATTGAATTGGTTGTTTACTCATCAAGAGTTGGCAGAACATTCAGATTAGGTGCAGGGTAGTATCCTGCTGGATTTTTTATTTTTTTTCCCTTTGCCCATCTAGTCACTTGAGTCTGGTGTCAGGAGAAATGAGGGAAAGTGCTGTATTTTAAGCTCCTACAGGAGCACTAAAGCAGATTCTGTCTGGAAGGCCAAGCATTATATTAAAGGAACACTTAGCCACCATAATCACTTCAACATATTGAAGTGGTTATGGTGCTTAGAGTCCATGTGTGCCAGAACCCGCATCACTGCTAAATCGTTTACTCACTGTTTAGCAACAGAATGCTCAGATTCCAGAGAGAATATGGCAGAGCCAAGCTTCTTCCTTGCTCCATATAAATTCATACCAGGGGTGTTTGGCAGTGATAGGCTGAGGGCATCACCTGAACACTCTCAGCCAAGCACTGTCCTCCTCGCTTCCCACATATGCCTGAGAGGCTACAAATCATTCCTTTAGTGGTAAGAAGCAAAGCATTTGCATTTCCTGGGGTATCTCACCCAATGGTTAAAATGGACGTCCGAGGACTCGGATCACAACTCGGATAAAACCCTGCAAAAAGAGCCACTCAGAGGTGTGGTTTTTTTTTTGTTTTGTTTTTTTTTAAATTATTTTATTATTTACATAGCGACATCAGATTCAGTACAGCTGTACAATGGGTGGACTAACAGACATTTAATTGGAAACAGGAACAGAGAGGTGGAGGGCCCTGCTCAATGAGCTTACATTCTCTATATAATACATTAAAATGGGTGGAAGAAAATTATACAGTATTATTAAAGTATCTTAGTTATCCTGTTCAAGGACTTAACATCATATAGAAACTGTTTAGTCTACCTCGTTATAAATGGAACAACTTCAGATTCCAGTGTTTAGCTATATTTTGTATTCAGCAACACCATATATCTGTCATGTGCCTTCCCTTTTATGCAAAGAGAGATTCCCTACCGTTGAAGGGATAAAATGAACAATGTAAAATATGTGACTGTTGGATTAAAACATTTATAGTTCTATTGTTCACATTTCCCATACCAAAGTTTTTTGCAAATGTACAATATTATCCCCTTTACTATAAGTAATGCATGAATATATCTAGAGGGAAAAAAAAACCAATCCCACTTACCTTATTCTCAGTCTAGAAACATAGAATGTGACAGCAGATGAGAACCATTCGGCCCATCTAGTCTGCCCAATTTTCTAAATACTTTCATTAGTCCCTGGCCTTATCTTATAGTTAGGATAGCCTTATGCCCATCCCACGCATGCTTAAACTCCTTTACTGTGTTAACCTCTACCACTTCAGCTGGAATGCTATTCCTTGCATCCACTACCCTCTCAGTAAAGTAATACTTCCTACATTTTTTTTTTTAAACCTTTGCCCCTCTAATTTAAGACTATGTCCTCCAATTTAAGTCTGTCTACACTGATTTCTTTACTGGGACTTCGATCAGTCTCTGTGCATCAGAAAGAGGGAATGTAACAGCAGTCATTTTTCCCTCTCGTATAAAAGACGTGCACAAAGTACAAGTCTACATTTCAGCAGATGGAGAGTAAGGAGTCATGTGTGCACAGTAAAGGGAATATTATGCCATGCCCTATATAGTACAGATGTCTGGTTTTATCTAGGTAATTATTTGTACAGTATGAAGGTATTATCTTTCCTTTCTAACAGCATTTTTCGGAATATGTACTCTGGAAAATCCCAACAGATTCCTCATAAATATGCATAACACGTTTTTTTTTATATTTTGCCACATTTTATTGTTTTTTTGTTTTTCACAAGGCACTTGACAAAAATGATCATGCTTTAGAATCAATCTAAAGTATTGCAATATCAGATACACAATACAATCTATATTTGTATATCAATTTATACACAAAATTCCTTTTCTATTTATGGAGTAAATATGCTCCATTTAATAAACAAAAGAAAATAGAAATTTGGTGGTAATGAGTGGGTTTTATATTTTGATGAATATATAGGGTTCAATAAAAGTGTAATTTGGGGGGGGCAGGGCCTGACCACTGAGAGCCGAGTACGCAAACCCGGTTAGCTCCTGCTCTGCAGCACTAATTAGGCTGATTTCAGCCACTGAAACGGGACCTAATCAGCCCAAAAAGGACACCACCTGGAAGGTGACAACCAGGGGCACACAACGATGCCACACAAGCGACAACGTCAGTATAATGCACCTGCCCTTCCTAAGAGGCCTACACGCGTGGTCGGCGTAAGGGAAACGGCCGCTCCCCAGCTGACATCCACGGCTGACAAGCGGAGACCAGAACCTCGTTTCCCCCCCTCTGGACTGGGGAGCAAAACCAGTTAAGTGGCCCATTGCACCACCAAATCAGTTCACCATCCATGCCCACCTTTTCCTGGTTTTATAATGGATATTGATGTTATGCTAATCAGTAGCTCTTTGCCATACCCGCTCCTTCACGGCTCTGACTTTCAATGTTGTCAGAGCGCAGGCTGAGAATCTCTGAGCCTGTGCTCCAACTCCCTAACTGAGCGCCGGGAACCACGAGGGAGAGGATATAATCTGACTGCACCTACTGCTGGTGCGCTCCAGTGGACCACCAGCGAATCATTTAAATTGAATATGCTGGTGTCCCCAACTTGTGAGCTGTGTTGGCCGCTGGGCGCCTCTGTTGTCATGGCACCCTGCGTGACCGCACAGCTTGCACACCCGAACGGCTGGCCCTGCTGACACACACTGACGTTACTACTTGGACATCCCTCAATATTAATACAGACATCAGAGTAAACACCAATAAACTGTGGAAACAGAGCTGATCCCCCCAAATTTATAAAGATTTGCTAACTGGATTTGTTGTAAGATTAAATCATGCCTCCTCCTCTCTCTCTCCCATGCGCTGCTCTGTAGGCTGGGAGGAAGTGAAGAATAATCACATTCTCCCAGCACAGCGGCACCTGTGGCTGCATGGGGAAAAGCTGAATTTGCCGCCCCCCATGTGACATCACAATCCCCCACCCTTATGATCTGCCATATGAATTAACGCCAGTGCTGCACACAGTGTGTGTTTACATTAAAAAACCTGCAGGGACCGGCTATAGACACCAGAACCACTTCATTAAGCAGCAGTGGGTCTGGGGACATAGTGTCCCTTTAATGTGAGGTAAATTATAGATTAGTGTCACTAATAATATACTAGATTGCCTACTTACAACCAGATGAGGATGATGATGGGCTGCAGTTTGGCTCCACTGGTCTGGTGTAGAACAGGATCTCTGGAGGCTGTTTGCAACTGTGGTCACAAAAT